CAAAGGACACATTGGGGGAAGTTCTGGTTTTATTCTGTTCAAGTGAAAGTTGAGCTGTATATGTTCTGTTCGTAGGCGGAAGATCGTGGTCTGTTTCTTTCTCTGTAGGAGTAGGTGGTTGATTTCGTACCATTGCAGCAGTAGATTTGCAAGACAAACTAAATTTTAATTGATGTGGTCACTACATAATTGTCAAATTGTGCGTAACGAGAAAGGCGGGGGAACTCGGATAGAGATGGAAAGATACAGTGGAGTCCACTTATAACGAGTCCTGAAATAACGAGAAGTCTGTTATATTTTTTTATAAAGACATTATTCTAAAACCCCGTTTTTTCCCTTCTTTGTCTTTGTTAATAAAATACTGCTATAACACAATCAGATAAACACACACGAGTCGGTTATAGCGGAACATTCCTGCTGCTGGGCACAGCGTATAGTCCATTTATACCATGTAAAACCTCGCCAATTGTTCGTGATCTAGTGAAACAAAGAATGGGAGAGCCCACGTGCACCAATAATGAAGGCCGGAGCGAATGAGTTGGGAGAGTGTGGCACGCGCAGACAAGCCGTTGAGAAGCAGAACGCATTGCCTGATAGTGATATGCCTGCCTAGTCTAGATTATCTAGGCTTATCATTACTATCATGGCTCTCACTTCTCCGATGCGGGGATGGAGAGGTCACAGTTCTGTGATGGATCATGGAGCGAATGTGTGACGTGCGCAAGCAGACGCGGGAACGCACCATAGGGTGTGCTGGGGTGGGGGGGGACACAGCGGGCGAGTTAACCTAGAAGAGAACTTTTCGTTCTGATCGCCAACGCCGAGCTGTCAACATCGCTAACGCTAGAGAAAGAAACCTGATTCGATTTTTGATCAAGTAAGACCTATGGGTCATGTTGAGCAACTCCATCACCATGAGAGATAACAAAAAGAAATAAACAGAACACCAAACTCATAGATTAAGCCTACTTTATTATTTCCTTTGAATTTATTATTGGATCCCTTTTAACGAGGATCCTGCTATAACGGACATTTCGTACCGGTCCCCTCCCTCTCGTTATAACAGGATTCCAGTGTATAAATGTTGGATAGATAAGCCGTAAGGGGAGGGATAAGCGTAGAACTTGAGACTCCGATTGGGAAATAAGTGTGAATGGCAAGCCTCATGCCTCTGTGATTGGTCATCAAGGTTGACCACTCTTTGCTCTCCAGAATATGTCATAACCCTCCCAGGGGTCACGCCAGTTCATTTTAGAGTGGATGGAGACTGTTTTACCGGTTGTGGGTCTTAGTCTTAACATGGGTTACTGTCTATACGTTCTTACTACCGATCTCTCTGACCGTCTAGGTTACTGTAGATTCTTCCCTTGGTCCGTCAACTAAGATCCTGTTCGTCTAAGTTACAGCATTTTCCATGCTCCCGAGCACCGGGATCTTAGGTAGAGACTACTGTATTAAAATTTATGTATGCATTTTCTCTGCAGCATCTCCTTCAGTCTCTCTTCTTACTCCCATCGTTAATTTTCTACAGCTGCATGAGCAGATAATAAGTCTCATCTTTATAGTATAGACAGGGCGAAGGGATTGTTAATCTTGCAGCCCTTGGATTGATGTCCTTTGGCTACATGTTGTATTAAAAAATAATAAAAACTGAGGAGACAGAGGAGGTTGGGTTCTCCTTGCCTGCGTAATATAATCTAATTCTGTGCTTCTTTCCTTCTGCCTGACTGATGACCACTGGCATGGCATTTGTGGTGTAGCCGTAAGGCTCTTCAGCATTGCTGCATAGGCATAAGGAAGATGTATGTGAGTTCAATTCCCAAATAAATATGTAGAGAGTGTTTTTTTTATCTAGTACCACTGTTGTTCTACTGGGATGCTGTACCCCTCTCAGCCTAGGGTACCGCTGACAGTAGTGACAGCAAAGATAGTACAGCCTACGATAAAATGTTGCAGTGGCCCAATTTTGTGAGGCACGTCGACTCCTAGCGGCGAGCGTGCGACAGTGTATACAAACACGGCGAGAGACTCGCAACGCTCTATGCTGTCTGCAATACGGGCCAGTTTTGTTCAGCGATCGGCCGTTCTAATTCCAGAGGAAAAGCCAATTAATAATTGTCTTTCTTCAGATTCCCAAAGGACGAAAAATGGAAAGACAATGTATAATTGATTTTTTAATCTAGAGTCTAGATTAGAGCTAAACTAGAGAGACCAGATAGTCCAGCCTATAAGCTTTGTTTACTCTCTGCAGCATGCGTCCTTGACTAGGACCAATGCTTTGTACTCTGTACTTTGTTGTGTGAGGGCCCATTCCATTAGGTGTAGAACTAGATTCTAGATGTAAATAGATCTAGCTATATGTTTTCTGTGTTGTAGGTTATGTAATTTGTTCTTTAGCACAACACAGAGAGATCAGTATTTTGCATATCAACTTGTAACTTTTTATGCCGTATGGGCCATTGACCTCGAAAGTCAATAAAGTCTAATTCAATTCAATTCTCTCTTACCACATACTCATACACACATGTACGCAGGCATGCAGGCACGCACACACACACACACACACACACACACACACACACACACACACACACACGTGTGCGCGCGGGAACGAAACCGTTTCACCTCCACATTTTTAAAAATCTAATTTTCATCTGAAGAAAAAATTGCCTTAGTGGTTTCGACGTGATTCGACGCGACTTAAATCTCAGGAGCACACACTGCACCTCAAGCATATTATCATTCCGTCTATGATGATGAGCTGGTTGCAGCTGTGTAGTCGAGGAAAATTGAAAGCACCTAACGAAGGTCTTATGAGTGCATAGGTGACTGTGTCACTGGGGAAAGTGTCGTAAACCTTCACCCTGATGTCAAGGCTAGGAGAGCGTGAGCCCTTAGAAAAGAGAGAGCGAGTTAATAAGACAGATTTAGATCAATAGATCTACTTCTACGTTGTATTCTTTGTATTCTCTCTCTCTCTCTCTCTCACTCAGTCACCCACTCATCTATCTCTCTGTGTGCATGTTTGTCGTTTCAACTGTAGTAACCTTAGTTCTCTCACTCACTTCCCTGGTTAATACTAATTGACACTATCTTTTGATTTCTAATAATGCATACTCCGAAAGATCCTGTCATCAATACTATCTCATCTATACGATCAATAATATGTGATTGTCAATGTCTAGGCCTAGATCTAGATTTAGTAGATCGTGAGCCTATGCACCCGGTGCCCGGTACCAGTACACTAGATTTATCCTCTGATCTTATCATTCGTTACCGAAGTGGGACTTTAAAAAAATCTAATGTTTTTCTTTTTAAATAATTTAGATCTAGATAAATTATTGAAATACGTTGATCAATACTTAAGTTTGGTAGATAGATCTATATATTTAGATCGATCTAGATCTAGATTCTAGATTAGAATGGGCCTTAGAGTAGGATTAACTAGGACGCTCTCATATTCTGCTCTATCCAACAAGCCCAGGGCCAAGCCATCGGGGCTCAGTCACACGCTCGCTGGAGGCGTGGCCTATTTTACGCGTGCTACGTTTTTTTAACAAAGGGAAAGAGGGAGCTGCAGCATCTTATCGTAGGGTGTAGTATCTCTGGTGACAGTCAGCAGGTGGATCCTATTGTTCAGATTAAGTCATCCAAAGTCGTTTGTCGATCCGCTCACAAATAAAGACTATCAAACACACAGATAAAGGCCCTTGAGCCTCAGAACAACCCTTCCAGCATATGCTGGGGTAGCATTAAAAGTGTGAATTTCAACTGACAAAACAAGGATGGATTTGCCTTACAATAAATGTCACAGAAGCTCTGTCTTTAGTACATACAAGAAAATACACATTCTGAATTCGGAAAGGTGTTACTACTGTTACCATCTCATTGGTACCAACATTAATAACCTGAAGAAAAGACAATGTCAATGAGGTCGTGCTAAGTAAATTTAACGGAAGTAAGTGCACAAACCCTAATCACCTCTGTAGAAAAAAACACAAAGACTACTACTTCGATGGAGGGAATATTGTTCTGTTTTATTCCTGAGGCTCCATCACACATCAAATTGTCATTCAGAATAAACAATACATTATGTTGCAAAAGATAAAAACTTTAAAATCAAATATATGGACAAAACTAGTATCACTTATTGCTTCAGCCACAATATTCTTCCAACCACAGACAAAATTCACATATATTATATCATCACATTGGTAGCCTACATGCACACACACATACACACATACTCAAAATAGTCATGCATACACGAAAACACATGCCTAAACTTTAGAATACTGCCTCCCACAATTGAAATGAGTTTGTATTTTTTTTTAATTCACTAAATATAATATCTCAAGACTCTTTCTCTGCCTCCAATTCTTCTCCACATGCATACCTGATAAACCCTCGTACATCCACTCCATTAAGACACACCAGCTCACCCACACTCATTGAAGAATCCAGTAAAAACTCTTGGTTCAGCAGTTCATCCTCTTCATCTTCCTCTGCAGGCCTACTACTTCCTTCATCCTCAGCATTCTCTCCCTCAATAGACTTTGCTCCTTCATCTCTCTCTCCACCATCCACCTTTGCCGACCTCCCAGCCTCCACATCAGTTGAGGGAGAATACTCTCCAACAGTCTTCGGGTTCATGCCCACAATGTGCTGGCACAGGTGACTCCCCAGTTCGCTAAACGTCATGACCGGCTTGCCTTCAGATTGTTTTTGCACCATCTCCACCACAGCTCCGTATTTGCCCAGCAGAACGCTCTTGGGGTTTTTCAGTGGGGCTGTACAAAGAAAAGGAAATGACGAAAATACACAGGACTAACACACAAGGACGATTTGCTTGATGTTAGTTTTAGTAAGAGTTTTACAGCACTTGCAACACAATTAGATCATATATATAAGAGCCAAAGATTAAAGGTGTTATAAGAGAGCAAGGACACACCAAAAAAAAAGGTTTTTATTATTAGTGTAGTTTTAGTAGAGTTTTTACAGTGCTCGCAAAATGGCATAAGGTCACATGAGCGCCAAGGTGTGGATGTCAACAGAGAAGTCCATACAGGGAATCAGGCTTACTCTCCTCACCTCTCTAGCTTCAACAGCACAAAATCTGCTTCGATAATCAAGGCACCCCGGAAATAGCGGGTCACAAGATTGTGACAAGTATACTAAAGAAGAAGAGGAAAATGACGATAGTATAGTAAGGATTAGGAAAGAAAAAGCAGCCGTTCCCTGTTGCAGTTTAGACACAGTCATGAGCATGGCATTGATGAATCAGCCTATTTACAATTCTACAGTGTATAAGAACCAGTTAATGTCCCCCCTTTGGGAATGGCCTTAAGACACTTAAGTAAGTAGTACAGTCCATGCCGGCTTTAAGCACGGTCATCGGGAGAAAGCTTAAGCGTGCTTAAAGCCGAAGCGTGCTTAAGTGCGAAGTAGACATAATCCAGAGATTTTCATGTAGAAAATTCCCTGTGCTATTTCCCTTAGTTTGTAAGTAGGCCTATAGCGGTCCCACAAAAGTGTGCACTGTTATTTAGACACCCGCCATGGTAGTTTTTGTTCGCTTGTTTGTTTTTGTTTTGTGGTCGAATGGGAAATGAAAACTTAATTTAGACGGCCAGTCACGATACAGCACACTAGGCCTACTATACTGTAACACACTGCCTGTGCGTACCACTGCCCGCTGTGCCACTCATACCACCGCCTTCATCCCACCTCGCGCGTGATACACAATCAAAATTAATGGGTAGCGAAAGGTGAAATCGCAGCCAGCCTCCCTTTCTCATCTCCCCGACTCTTTTTTTTTTTTTTTTGATCGTGCGTAGCTTTGCCCTAGGCCTAGGCTAGATCCTATGTTCGCGCGAACTGCTGTGTGTGCATCTCTCTGCCTTCCTCTCTGCCCGTGCGAGTGTGTGTCCATCACTTGCGTTCTTTGTGTTTCTCTTGACACACTCCACTGTTGCGGTGTAAACTGTTCGAACTTCGATGGGTCATCATGAAAATATTGACTGCCTTGTAAATGAAGCGTGCTTGAAGCCGAAGTTACCGTGCTTATAGGCGTGTAATTTATATATAGCAAAAATTCGGTAAGAGCCGTTTAGCGTGCTTGTGTCCGAAACGTGCTTAAGGCCGGCGTGCTTATAGCCGGCACGGACTGTACCCCGCCCCGGTGGGGGGGTAAAGAAAAAGGGGTGAAGACGACAGATGTTTGATGGTAAAGAAGGAGCAAACCACACAAGAGCGTCCGCCAACCACCAAGAGAACAACTCGTACAATTATGTGAAAATCAAAATAAGACAAGACCAGATATTGTCTCTGTAACAAGAAAATTAAGTAACTCCATTTTAACCGTTTTACATTTTGTAGCAAAAAAACCCCCAGGAATTAATCATGTTTCTTGCAACAACCTCATTATATATTAATAGATTTCTATTATATATACTTTTAGTTTAGTTTTACTTTTAGTTTTTAGTAGAGGTTTTACGGCGCTCGCATATATATAGGCCTATATATATATAATATAAATACTTAACTGATCTTCCATCATCAAAACGTTCTATTCAACTTGTAGCCCCTGATTGACTAAATAACATGGGCACTGCAAGTAATTTACAGCAATTGATTGAAATTCTTTCTTGATGTAAACTAGCATATATATGAACAAAACTAAAAATTGTATTGATTTTCCTAAGAAAATAGCAAATAAAAATCATCAAATTTCAAAAGCGTTGTTTCAAACCTAAATAATCTAGTGAAGAAAAAACCTGTTTATAGAAGAGAACTGCATAAAAGCCTCTGCACATATTAGAAAAAATATACATAATAGTACAAATCACAACCACAGGAAAATATAAAGATAACTCAGCCATACACTATGGAAGCAACAAAACTGTGCTACTACTACTACTACTCTGCTACTACTACTACTACTCTACTACTACTACAGTCTACATCTAAGATCCTGGTTCCGGTACTTGAGAGCTTGAAAAATGCTGGATTTTATGTAAAAAGGATTTTAACTGATTCATCAGTACAGTAGTCTCTAACTAAACACACCCCATACAAAAGCACGCTTTCGTCATCTGACAGGTTTTTACTATGTAATTTAGGCATACAAACGCAGGGTCACTCCCTCTAAACGCATGCACCGATCCGCGAAACACGTCGACAGGTAAAGCTGGACAAAAGGTAATTTTCACTCCAACCTGCACAGCTTACATAAGAAAAGCCTAGACGCTAGAAAACCGGTTATTTGACGAGACTGCCCCTCATGCCGAACAAAGAGTGATGGACAGCGTTTTCACATCCACCTTTCCACAGACACATAGATCTGGGACTGGTCGGTGAAATGTTGGGGGGTTGGAGCACTGAGTGAAATGTTTTTCAATTGGTCACTGGAAATGCATCTTTGAGAGAAGTTTCTGACTGGTGTTTGGGGGACTGCATGTAATTACTTAGACATAGGCCTATGATGCGTAGCACGCGTGAATGCTATAGAACACTAGACAAGCCTCTATAGGAGCAAAGATTACTCAAGTAAGCCTAATCAGCAGCACTCAAAGACTTTATAACGTACTTGTTCAAGGAATCACAAGAGAAATGTTTCTCTCAATGTAGAGATCTATGATTCTGGTGTCGTCCATGAATTTACGGTCGGGGTGGTTGCTTGGAAAGCCATGTGGCTGCGCCGTCGTCTCTATGACTATCAGTATCACCAATAGTTTCCTCTTAGGCTATCTGTTCCAGACGTTTTATGGAGCATATATATTACACTAAGTCTATCTTTCTGCCCTAGATTTTTTATGATCTGAAATGCAGGATCTTAGCCAAATGTAGTCTTTCAGAGCTGGATCTTAAAGATGACTTCATGTATGATGTAAAAATTCTATTTTCTTAAAAGAGGGGAGTCTTAGCAAACCTGGATCCTAAATGGTGGGACACCAGGCGGAGACTATCAGACTGTACATGGGAAAAGGGTAAAACAGCAAACATTTTAAGTGATAGAACACTTTCAAAGAGACCAACCAATTTTCTGCTGGGAAAACCTTTCACCATCAATGACCCCTGAATGATTAATATTTTTCACACACTTCACAGCATACCTGAGGGATGGACATAAAAAGAGAGGACCGAGTCTTTGTCTGCCCTCAGAAACGCCCCTCTTCGTAACGCCATGTTCTCTCCCAAGTTGCCGACATTTAGAGCAACAATATCCGCCAGTGTGCCCTGTTCTGAAGAGGCAATCTGGCCCAGTTCCTCTTTGTTGACAAAAACCTGGGAAGTTTAAGAAAATAATTTAACGCAGTCGTCTCATACTCATAGCAAATGGAGCAGGATTTATTCCAGAAGACAGAATAACCACTAGGCTACCGACGCCACTAGACTGTTGTATATCTGCCTTGAAGAAAGGTGATCCTGGAGTTTGTTTTGTTTTAAGTTAAAATCTTACACTTACAGCACTCACAACATAATGAGGTCACATAAGTGCAAAAGATTAATGGTGTTACCAGAGAGTAACAAACACAAAAAGAAAAGAGGAGTACTAAGGATGATAGATGTTTGATAAAAGAAAGAGGGAGCAAATCACACCAGAGCACCCGCCAACCATCTACTTCCTGGAGTTTAGGCTGTCTTAGATTCCTAACATTTCAGTATTAATAATTCTGAACCATTCCCTTGCCAAAGCAACAACATTCTCATTCTTCTTTTCCACACGCCAGATATGAAACAGACACTGGAAATCACAGTTCACTCTCAAGGAATGAGAACATGTTATGATGATACCCCAGAGATGTAAAAAAAAGTGGGAAGTCATGAAATCTTTCATATCAAAGGTGGAAAGTGTTTGTTGCCTTCAGTCTGATGCAAGGTAAGAGAGGCAATGATGATGATGATCATGATGATGCCCCACAGGCTTAACCCTCTTTTTCTCCCCTGTCTCTCTGACTGCAATCAAATTGCATCCACTCACCTAATTAAATTTGTTCCACTATTTATCTAGGGTCTATATCTGTCTAAGACTTATTGAAGGGTTTGGTTAAGAGTCCGAAAGTCACTGTTTCTCCCCTTCTCTGGGCTCCAGGTTCTTTCTGCAGCCTTTCTTCTGCTGCTCCTTGGCTCCCTCTTACACTTGGGTTTTTCAGTCACATCCCAAATCTTATAGTAGGAATGATCTAACACCTAACCTTCGTGGATAAGGAAAAAAAATCTTGGAGGTCCCCTTTGCAAGATGCACACATTAAAGATCCCTTGGTGCTCCTAACATCAATACGAGTAGGCTTCAGCCACCACCCAGGCAAAATTCAAAATGAATTCCTACCCAACTGAAAATGCTTTAAGTATCCCCTGTGCTCATATGAGCCTATCTGTCCCCCTGGTTTTATGCACCCTGCATAATTTAGCAAAATTAGACCATTTTTTGCATAATTTCTGATCATTTTCCTTTATCCTTCATTGTTTAAAGTAACAGAATCGCATAATTTCACAGTTTTGGGTTCAGTTTGCATAATTTCAGAATTTTTCTTGCATAAAACGACGGGGACAGGCTTATGCAGTTGTGAGTGCAGTAAAACACTTAGGCCTACCAAAAATAATTTTTAAATGGCTTTCTATCCTTTTTCCTATTCAAGTCCTTTTTTTTTGCAAATAAATATGTAAGAGTCATTCGTATTTTGGTTTGAGTTTTGAGAAAAGAAAAGTCAGCACAAAAAAAAAGAAAGAAAAATTTACAGCTAAAATTAATGTCAGAGAACTTTATATATTTCTCAGTTAACCTGAGAACTTACTGTTTTATTCGATTGTTTTTCAAAGTGAGATTTGCATTCTTGAGCCAATTTTGATACCATGGCCAGGAACTTTTCATTCTTGGCCACAAAGTCAGTTTCACAGTTGACCTGAAGAAGACAAAATAAATATATATAAATCTATAAAAAGTCTGTGTTCACTTTGATAAGAAAGCTCTTCACAACCATAATGTTGGAATTAACTAAAGGTTGTTTTTTTTAATCAAAAACTCCAGATTGCTCAATAATGTACGCGAATAAGTTGAATAACACTAAAAGTGAAATATTCTTGGACAAATCAAAATGAGAGTCCAACGTCTTTGATTTCAGTCTCAGTATTTTTATACACAGCACTGAAACAATGAATTCCTATAACTATGACTATGAGTTTTATACGTCTACACTTAAAAACATAACTTGAATGTAAAAATTACCATCATCTAAAATCTATTGCTCCATCACAGCATAAACTGTAATATCACACGACAGTAAAGCAATAAAAAAATAAGGAGCAAACTGAAAAGTTAATCAAAAGTAAAGTCAGAGTGATTATCTCGTCCTTATGTCATACCTCTAACATCGTTACTTGAGTGGAATCCCCGACAACAGCCACCAAGCCCTGCGACATTGGCCGTGACTGTAGCTTGGTTGCTCGCGCCCAGCCTGCTTTTTGTGCTTCCTCCAGAAGCCATTTTTTGGCCTGCACAAAACAACACAGAAAATTGAAACTGCTGGAAAATTGATAAGCTATCTATTAAAAATGTTTCACTTATGACTTATGTTTTCAAACGCATTTATCAATAAACCTAACGTATTATGCGTACAGTAGAGTCCACGTATAACGAGTCCTGAAATAACGAGAAGTCTGTTACACTATTCTAAAACCCCATTTTTTTTTCATTCTTCATCTTTGTAAATAAAATACTGATATAGCACAATCAGACAAACACAGGAGTTGGTTATAGCGGAATATTGCTGCTGCTGTGCACAGTGCATAGGCCACTTATATATAAAACCTTGCCACCTGAGAAACTTGTTGGCGATCTAGCGAAACCAAGGACCTTACAACTTCTTGAGCGAAACAAAGAATGGGAGAGCCCACGTGTGCCAACAATGAAGGCCGAAGCAAAAGAGTGGGGAGGGTGTGGTATGCACAGACAAGCAGAGCGCATCGCGAGATAGGCCAGCCTTGTCTTGATTAGCTAGGCCTACCATGCCTCTCACTTCTCCGATGCGGGGATGTAGAGGTCAGAGTGCTCAACTATGATAAAAGGAGCGAATGTGTGACGTGCGCAAGCAGACTCAACGCACCACAGGGTGTGGTGGGGTGGGGGACAACGCAGAGGGCGAGTCAGCCTATGAAGCCCTTTCTTTCTGATCGCCAACACCGAGCTGTCAACATAGCTAGCGCTAGAGAAAGAAGCCTGATTCGATTTTAGATCAAGTAAGACCTTGAGGTCAAGTTGAACAAAATCATTATCAGGGGAGACAAAAAGAAAGAAAACAGAACACCTAACTTATAGATTAGGCCTACTTTATAATTTCCCTTGAATTAATTACTGGATCCCTTATAACAAGAATCCTGGTATAACGCACATTTCGCACCAGTCCCCTGCTTCTCGTTATAACAGGATTCCACTGTAATAAAAACCTCATCTAATTTCCTCTGCATCATCTCTCTAACTAGTCTAGAATTCACTTACTACGTTCTCTCAAGTGCTCCTTACATGAAAATACCATAGAGGGTTGGCAAAGCAAGCAACCCGTTTATTTTTTTTTACCAAAGTTAAATTATTATAAAACCCTGGTAAAAAGAAATATTGTCTTTTCTAAATATGAGACAATAGTAATACAGGAACTGTTCTCATCAACAATGAAAGCTTACACTTGTTCCTGTTTGCACTAAAAAAAATTTAAAAGCTGTAAAAAATACAATGTAACAATGTCAGTTGAATTTGCCAAAAACAACAATGAACCTCAAAGGAAGATCAACAAAACACAAGTACTTACCTCGTCAAAATCATTGTCAAACTTTTCTAGTGCTTTCTTGCAGTTAATAAATGGAATGCCAGTTTGCTTTCGTAGCTTACTAAGCATGGACTTGTCAACACCCCAGCAGGAAGATGTGGAGTTAAAATTTCTCAATGATGGTTGAAGAATGTGCCATAGTCGTGGCCTCAAAAGACCTGTGTAAAAGATAAAAAAACAAAGACAAATTACTCATATATATAAAAGAAACTGTACTTTTTTGACTGTTGAAATACTAGTTGAACTTGCCTTAACGGAAACCTGTGAAAAACGGAAATCTGTCTTAACGGAATCTCCCTGCTCCCCCCTTGTATTCCTATTTAAATACCTGTATAAACACGGAAACCTGTCCAACGCGAAAACGGAAAGAAAAATGCACTCCCTTCCGAGAGTTTTACCTGTCTAAAACGGAAAATTAGCCCTGATTTGAAACAAAATCCGCAAGTTTCGTTCCGTCCGCTGACTTGAAACTTAACACCATGTCGCCAGGCGAAGAAGGGGAGTAGGGTGCGATTTGTGGGTACATTTTACCCTATTAGTATTAGATCTATATGTGAGCCCTGAGCGATGAAAATGGTCAGGGTGGTGTGGGTGTGAAATCTCATGAGCGCCAGTTAAAGTGCTCGAGTTGCGCTCCAGCACGAAAACTTTCATTGGTAGCCAGAGGCCAGAGGTGTGAAATTAGTTTGACCAATGCCTGCTGCCCTGATTGTACAGCCAGCCGAGAAAAGAGTTCCTCGAATCATTGTTAATGGCAGAAAGGGGTAGCATTGGTTGACTGTGCTTACACCGATGGGTGGGCCTAAGGGTGGAAGCAAACGGAGATGTTCAAACGTTTAGAGTTTTTAATAGGTCAAAACAGTGGTCCTGTGAAATGCAAGCACTGGTCGTAATGGATAAGTAAGACAGATACATATGTCATTATCAGAGAGGACAGCAGTTGACACTGCAAGGGGCACCATTGGCGGATGTTGAGTCCTTCAGCTACCTGGGAAGTGTCATCAACAAGGCAGGGGGAACAGACGAAGACATCAAGGTCAAAATCCAAAAGGCAAGAGCAGCATTCATCATTCTCAGAGAGAGATATATATATGGATTTAACGTGGAACCCACAAGGAAAATGTAAGAATGGAAAACCAAAGATGGCATGGAGGCGGTACAAGCAGAAATGGAAAAAGCGCTGACATCATAGAGAAACAGAGATAGAAAAGGATGCTCAGGACAGGCTTCGCATGCTGTTGATGGCCTGTGCTCCACTAGGAGTTAAAAAGGGAGAGAGAGAGAGAGAGAGAGAGAGAGAGAGAGAGAGAGAGAGAGAGAGATAGCAGTTGACAGGACAGGTAAGAATTATAAATTGGGTTGTTAAGTGGACACCACTTTCACTTTCTGTTGCTATAATAGTTAGTGTTAACGGTATTAGATTATATTAATTAAATCTAGTCTCGAATCTAGATCCAGATCTCTCTAGATTCTAGTTGTTTTTGTCTTGTCTCTTGTTGTACAGCAGTAGTAGCTCAGTAGGTTTAAGTAAAAGTGAGTTACTTAGGCCTACACTTTACTGTCTTTACTGTACTTTACATGATCGAGCCTTACATGATTTTAAACACTAGGACTAAGACTAAGAAAGCGTGTGCAAGCATTATATAAAATTACCTCGCATGTTAACAGTATGTAGATCTAGATGTAGAAACTCTCTGCAAAAGATGGACAACACGGCTCTTTTCAGCAACAAGTAGCCAACGTAAATTACCAGATCTAGAATCTAGATATAGATCTATGTAGAATCTAGTCCATCTACTAGATCTAGATGCCCTTGTAAAATTTTACAACATGATGCACACTGCAATGCAAACCCCCACACCGGCGTAGTTGAACTCTCGGGACTTTGGAGTTTAGAAAGAGAAAAAGAAAGTAGAGGGGGTGTTTAGTTTTGCCTAATTTTGTAAACAAAAATTCAACTTTAAGATTATAAAAATATATTTTTATTCGCTCCTTAGGACTAATAATCACGATTTTATTAAACGAAACGAAACTTTTATTTCATTTTACTCTCAAAGGGAGTCTCTCTTGCCAGACTGGTACTGGAACGTACCAAGGAGATTAAAAGTAACGCAGTGGCTACGTTCACGGCGCCGTGAATGTAGTTGGCAGGCTCTGTTGAGGCTACGTTCACGGCACTCAAGCTTCGTTTAGACGGAGCGTCCACTGCCGGTTTAAGGCATGATGAGGGGGAAATTTTGAAATTCGTTAAGAACAAGAAACTAAGCTTACAAATGTGGTAGCATTATTGGGTAGCATCAATATAAAAAGAGTGGATAATTAAGTCATGAAGTAAAATTTTGAAAATTCTTTTGTGTTGCTAAGGTAACG